TTCCTTCCTTCCTTCCTTCCTTCCTTCCTTCCTTCCTTCCTTCCTTCCTTCCTTCTTCCTCCCTCCCTCCCTCCCTCCCTCCCTATCTCCCTCTCTCCTTCTCTCTTTCTTCCTTTCTTTCTATTATTTGTTCTTTCATTCTTTCTTTTTCTTTCCCATGTGGTCTTTTGAGGTTCTCACCAAATTAGCACTACAATCATTGAGCTTACAACAATCATCCTGTGTCAACTCCTCTGCCACCACACTCAGCTGAGCAAATTAGATCCCTAAATAAAATTTGGAATAGGCACATCCATCTATAAAGATGTCAGTTTTGTAAGATGGATTGCTCTTCTTTCAAACATCAGATATGAGCCCAAAAATGCTTCTGTCTTATCACTGTGTGCATTCACTTCTGTCAGAATTGTCCTGCCTCTTTAAGACCTAACTTACTGGTTCACTTGATGCTAGTTTTCTATGCAATTCCTGGACTCCACTGGTGATCTGCCCAAGCTTAAACTCATAAGCCCTGGATATTTTAACATGTTGTCTTTGTGGCATCATCGTGGATCTGATGTCCAGTGTTAACTTCTCTTTGGTATTTCATTCTCTACTTTTGGTTATGAAGACTGATTAGTTTAGAACAGAAATACCCAGTCACTGTGTACATGAGAAATACAGATAAAACCCATGTTTCCTTTTTATTCAGTGTAGTATTTCATCTTAAAGTGAAAACATCTTTCGTCTTTCTTACCACAGAGTGCGAACGTGACAACTTCTGTTTAGACAGGTTACTTCTCTGTAGTGGAGCTCCCTGTAATCTGGAGAAGAAAACTTGGGGTCTCAGGCTCCTTACTACAATATGTGACCTGTATTTAGAAACAGATGCCTACTGCTCCACAACTAAGGAAACTAAAAGCAAATGCAAATAGATTCCCAAATTGATTCACTCTTATAATGAAAGAAATGCAAAGGACTTAGGGAGACATCTTAAACAGTTATTTTTTCTTTATTTTCACAGCATATGTTTGGTACCAAAGGTTTCTTTTTAGAAGATAAGAAGGCAAAGATGTCTTATACCAAAGTCTGCAACAAAAAGCTACTCCGATCAATGTGTAGTGAATTTATGTCCTTGTGGGCTGGATTCAACAAAAAAAATATGAACATGGTATGTATAATAACTATATATACATTTGATTTTTGAAGACTTTCCAGCATTCTTTTGATTTATGTTTATCTCTTATACTATATAAATGCATAGATGTTGCAAGCCCTTAAAGGTAGATATTTGATATGCGTGAAAGATCGGGTATCTCAACAGATCATGAGCATCAGAACTGGAGAAGGAAAGGCTCCATCCTCTGTCAAAGTTAAGAGACTGAACACTTACTAATGAGTATTAAGTTGATTCTCACGTGTTTGTAAGCTGCTAGAACTTATAGCAATTACAGTTTACTTCATTTTGTTATGTTAATTTAAAAGCAAAATTCTAGGAAAGGAGATGTTTGAGTAAGCGGTGCATTTACTATATGTATACAGTCATTAATACATGAATTTGAATAAAATCTATGGCTTAGTGTGGCAAGACTAATACAGAATGGAAGGAAATGGAATCCTCTACTTAGGAAGAAGTTAGACTTCTGTTTCATTAGGAACTCTTTCCTGTTGAGAATACAAGAAGAAGAAGGAACCTACATTTGGGGAGTAGAAGGGTTGCAAAGCTCTCCCTGCTGTATTCCCATGAGAATTTAGCAAGTACAAAGTAGAAAGAATACAAGGCAGTTAAAAGGAATCCTTTTCCAAAGGAACTGTTCCCCACCCTATCTCTTTCCCCCTATGCTTTCAGAGGCTACACCCATGAGGAAGGACAGATCAAGAGGTTAATGTGTTCAGAAGTTAAGATGTTTAATGGATTCCCTTCACGTGGGCCATTAAGATCTAAAATACAAGTATGGGTATTATTTGACCCCCATTATTTTCACCTCTATGATCTCCATGAAGATTTAAATAATCTTTCAAAGAAACCAATTTTGTATTTTATTCTTACATTCTTACAATATATTATCTTGCCACAAGAACCTAACAGGTTGAGAGCATGATTTATAGTGAATTTACTTACTTACTTACTTACTTACTTACTTATTTACTTACTTACTTATGTTTATGGTTTTTTGAAACATGATCTCACACTGTAGCTTAGACTGGCCTTGAACTCATGATTCCCTTGCTTTTGATCCTACCCCTACTGCCCAGTGCTTGGATTAAAGGTATACCCTGCCACATCTACTAGCTAGGCTAATATATTTATTTTGTAGATAAAAAATATAAAACTCAAACATGTTAAAAATTTTAAGCAAAGTCCTGAGGATAATAACTAGTAACACGTGGACCTGAAATCTAGGATGTGCAGTCTCTCTTTGGCAGTCTACACATCTGTTTTGCACACATCAACCCTGTACCTGTATACACAATCCCTGTATTTGCACATACCCCTTCCACTGGTTGTTTCTCTCAGCACCAAAATTCAGATGTCATGTAGGTTTTTTTCTTCAGGAAACATGTGCCCAAATTATCCTAAATCTACTCACAGTCAAATGTTTCACATACACATATATTCATAGCGAAGGTTTTGCGGTCTTTTTCAAAGCAACAGTATTTGTTATGAATTCTTCTTCTTCTTCTTCTTCTTCTTCTTCTTCTTCTTCTTCTTCTTCTT